GCTATGTGAGCAAACACTGCTTTGTTTGCATTTTTTACTTCAAGAAAGGAGTGGTGCAGTAACAATAAAGAAATCAAAGCAATTTCACAGAAGATGATTCCTCTGGACACAACAGAAATCTAAAGAATAGTGCGTGTAGGAATGAAACAGTGACTCCTGTAACACACGAGATGATTTCCCAGCCCATTACTTATCATGTAACTCCTTGTTGCTCTTTGACTAGTAATTCGAGCATTGCAGATGAAAATTGCCCTTACTAGTACTTTTTATATTAAGGTTGTGAGATACAGGAGAAAACACAAAATGATAAATGGGTGAAAGAGAGGAACACAGATGACTAGAAAGACTGTCAATATGCAGTATAAATAGGTTGGATGGAGTTACAACAAAATAATTTTGGATGCTCCAAGTAGAAAATAAGTTGTGTGCATACATATTCAGTCATTATTGCTAGCTGGTAATTTGCATAAAGAATTAGGGTAGCAGATTCATTAAATGTATTTCAAATGGAGCATTATCTAGGAAACATTGTTATGAAAAAAAGACATTTTCCTCTAAGCCACACAGAAAAGGAGTTACTTAACAGAAAAAAAGTTTATTTTCACCATGTCAACGTGAATAAAACTCAGGGATAACCTCTGGAAGGAACAGGGAACAGATTTGCAGAGAATCTTATTGTAAAAAAGGGGCAAGGAAGGTGGAGCTTTCTGACATTTGAACTGGAATTTCTGTAAACTTTTCAGAAGAAATAACAGTCACCGTGGAAGGTGCAAGCAAAAGGTGACCAGAATCAAATAGCTTTCTCCATGAGACACCAAAACCAGATCAGGGTCTCACCAGAGAAAGATGAGTAGGAGAAGTAGAACACACTTAAAGAATACTAACCCTCTAAGTCTAAAAGCAGCCAAAGTAGGAAAAAAAATACAAATCTTCCCCAAAAGGTGCAAGGATTAAATTACTATCAAATAATCTCTTAGTGCCTCCCATTTTTTAAGTTCAAGATAAAAAGTAGTGAAACTTCAGTGTATAACAGAAATTTAGCCATACAACTCACTGAAAGCTTGATCCACTTAGCTCTCTATCTTTTCCCAAACCTAGTAACAACATCTCGCACAAGGGAGGACTAAATCTGCTCTGTGCCCATGAACTTGTCCAAGCTGTGAGATACAGGAAATAGAGGGCCAGCTGAGTTCTGGCAGTATGTCTCAATGACCTAAAAGCTATTCTATACTGACAGAAAACACAGGTCTTTGGATCAGAATGATTTTGACCACAATAATCTGGCACCATCTTGCCTTAACCTTCTGGATACCTTCAAAAGAAGCAGAACTGGACAAAAGACATTCAACAGGCAATTTGACTCAGAAATAGGGAATAAAGACCTCAAGGTCAGACACATTCTGGAAAGGAGAACTTCTATTCCTATTTTTTTTTTTAATGCAAAAGAAGTTGACCACGTATTTGAAATCCCCAGTCCCATCAGACAGTCCTCTCGGACTTCTCATTTACAGGAGTGTGGCATATGGAGTACCCTAAATCGCCTTCACCATCTAATCCCAGCTTGGATAAAATTGCTCTCTACTACTGTAGCATCCTGAGCCTTCAGGTGCCTGGAAATAACTGCATAGACAGTACTATACACATATTAATAGTGAGCCCCCCAAAAAAATGAAGAAAAAGGGAAGTGAGATCCATAAAGAACCCAGTATTATTCTCGAGAGGTATGTTCATTGGCAAACAGTCAGGTAAGGATAAAAATCTTGTTATAATAATTTATCATTAGAAGCACAAATATCTGAAGTCTCTGAACAGCAAAGACTTTCAAGAAATGCACTGGTTGTACTGGTGGTGGTTCTGGTCCATGATATAAGCCAGGAAAATCTCTTTATGGAAATAAGCATCTTCAAGATTAAGAGACATAAAATAAATCCCCTCTGCTGAAGTGAAGTATTATGACCACTAATGTTATCATTGTAAAATCATACTAGTGATTAAAAATCTTTAGTGTCTTAAAGTTAAAAGAGATGTCTCTATCCTCCACACCTAGCTCTGTAAAATCTGGACCCTCCACTCCAGGATGAAAGGCTCTGTGAATGATAAAGGTAAATTAACATCTCTCAGTAAAGCCCAGTCTCCTGGCAAGGGCTTCTGAAAAGAGGTGAGGAAGGTGGTTTGAGGAATAGGCTAGGAGGAGTGATTGCTGTTGAACACCACAGTATTTAGGATGATAAGGATTCAGATCAACTATCAACAGCCTGAATCCAAAGAAAAAGTATATAAAAGAAAAAGATTTAGAAGGAAGGACTCACATCTCTTACCACTCCGTGAAAAGTACTGGGATGACTACTGTAAGGAATGAAGAAATGTGTGCAAAGTTGAGTTTTCAGGATAATTAGTCAAGATATTCAGAAAGAGGAGCCAAAGTTGCAGCATTTAAGATCTGCAATTTGGCTTATATCAAGCTGTTGCGAAGCTTCCTGGTTACATCAGTGTGGGCACAGAATCTCTTAAGAGACTGAAGTATTCATCCAGTGTTAGCTCAGTCTCCCTCCAATGGACAGCCTTCAACTGCAGCTTGAAGTTCATAGGCCATTCAGAGATGTATGGCCAAGAGTCTTCCTCAGAAAGTAAGACATAACATGCTATGTTATCTAGCCTCTTGGAACTTGAAAGAAAAAAAACTAAGTACTGAAAAGGATAATGTATTTATCTTAATCTTCCAAAGCATGAAATATATCTAATCTCAGATACTGAATTTAGAATAGTAGAGCCTGGTAATCTGCTATTCTTATGTGAAAGTTTGTAAAAAAACAACAACAAAAAAAAGAAGCAATTCTTTTCCTCCTCTAGAACCAAATGTTTAGAGCCCTTGCCAAAAGAAGCAGAGTGAGACTGTTCAAAATGTGCCAGAACCACAACAACAAAAATGAGAGTAAGTGGAGGGTGAGTAAAAAGGAAAATCCAAACCACCTGCTGATACTTGGTAGCATCTGTCACTGTACAAGAAGTGGGAGCACACGAAGGCAATGCTTGCCAAAGCACTTGAGCTGGAAGCAATATGGCATCGTTCATTGACTTGGTTGTATCAGTTAGCATAGACCCTACAGAATACCAGTCATGCAGAGAATAAAATTTTGGGAAACTTTTCTTGAGATCTGTAGAGTACTCAACTGACCCCTGTAGTAATGCTTAAGGGTTTTGTAAAGGTTGATATAAATGTTCATGCCCAAATGAAAAGCAGAAACAGGTCTCACTCATGGTACCACTAAGATGTTCAAGAACAAGGGGTTGTTTGCACTTTTGCCCTTCACGTAGGTAGAGGATGTGATAGTCTCCTGAGGTGACATCTTTGGGGGAGAAGATGAGGGAGTGCTGTGGAGGCACAAGTTCCTTCTTGTCCTCAGCTGAGCCTACTTAGTGGAAAATGACACGTGGGAGACGTGATCATCCCAAGAGTGGATGCTTTTCCTGTAATGACATTTCTTAGGTCAGACTAAAGACAAAAGATAAATCCTCCTCCCTTAGAGCAGGGTGGATATTGAGCAAGAGGTAATAATCCCGTAAACCAAGGGTGTTTTCAAGGTTATCAAAAAGCTCCTCAGCCTTGTCTTTTGGTCTTTATGAATAAAAATCTAAGGCTGATTCACCCCTCTCAGAGGGAGATAAGTAAACAGTGATGTGGTACAAGCACAGAGACACAGCCCAGAAATACCAGTCATTATTTCCTATAACCTCTACAAAAACAATAGATAAAAGATGTATCAGTAAAGGCAGAAACTCTAGAGAACCTCCAGCCTCAAATTGAGGGAAACAGTGAGCTGGGACAGACCCTGAAATATCACAAAGGTGATAATGAAATCTGATTACAAGAGCACCAAGAAAAAGCTCAGAACGTTGTGATTATTTTGATTGTGCAGACGTGCTCCATTTTTCCTTCAGCTATACCAAATGTTCCCTCCTTACTGCCAGAACAGGCAGCACAATCAGAAAACACGCATCTCAAGTACCCTCGCTGTGTATGAGGAATCAAAGCATCAGCAGGCTGTCTCAAGTTTTCCCTCTTTATTTTGAATGGACCTAGAGTGATATCTGGGTTTCTTCTCCCTGGATGATTGTGAAAATTTGGTCTCTTGAATCTGACATTCAGGAAAAGGGTCAAAGCTGAGTTTTCAGTATTTTATTGGGAATAACTTTCTCAATTTGTACTTGAAGTCTCAAGACACAGAACACTTAGATGGAATAAAAACTTCACCCAGACGAAACAGGAAGTCAACACTTTCATCTAGAAGAGCATAAAGCCAAAAATTTTGTTGAAGAATTCCTAGATGTGGAAGCTATCTTGTCCTATCACAATCAAAATTTGAGCTCATAACAAAAAAAGGATGTTTAAATAACTTGAAAATATTTTTTTAAATTACAGATAATCAAACAGAGTAGAGTATGAAGTAAAATAAAACGTCCAGATGATCTTTACTAGAGACCATGTAATCATCAAGAACTATGGTTCAGACACATGTGGAAATGAATGTCAGGTGACAGGCTTTACTCCATTGCTTACACCATGCCCATAAATCCAACAGGTAGACTAGGTGACCAAGTTTCTAGTTCAAAAGATTGCAGAGCTGTACACCCAAAATATGCAGAAAAGCGCTTGATGGTAAATATGGGATGATGACATGTGAATGCAGAATTAAATTCATTCACCTCTAATTCATGCTTTTTGATTTCTTCAAAACTTAATCTCACACCAATTACTTAGAATTCTTAAAGATGTGAACAGAAAGGCTTCAGGAATAGTAATTTTTATATACACACATACACAGCGGTAGTAATTTCTATATACACGCATACATAGGGATAGATCACGTATATTATTACGGGATTATATATTACACAAACTTGCATATATAAAAGACCACATTCAGCTTGATAAATACTTCTGGATGAAAAGTCACCTCTTTTAAGTGCTAACATAATTTCCAAAAACTGTATTCTCATACCTTTGCATAAGCAGTAGTTTTGATAAACCACTGTTTGAGGTATTTCTGTTCCACTTTTGCTCCTGAACGCCACGAACAACCATTGTCATCCACCTGTTCATTAGCCAGAACAGTCTGATCCACTGGATCCCAATTAACCAAGGCCTAAAAAAAAGTTGCAGGAAGAAAAAAATATTTTCAGCAGCTATTTCAAAACCAGAATCTTACTTTTCTGACACCAAAAGAATTATCCAGAAGCATTTCTTGGGCCCCTGAGTTTTCTACATTTTTGTAACATCCATTTGAATCAGCAACATGGACTCAACAGAAGATGTTTTGAATATTCATCTTCTCAGAACACAAAAAAACCCAAGAATGCAGTTAGCAGCATTTGCCTTGATTATTCATGCTAGTGGGACAGGCTGACACTTGAATATTAAATAGGTAAGTGTTCCAATTGACTACACTATAAACTATATAGTCTGATGCTTAAAAACTGTCCACCACTAATTCAAAAGCCTTTGGTCAGACTGAGGGTGGATGAATAACTGAGGATAATCAACTTCAGAGAACAGGATCATGAAGAAGTATTATAGTGGTCAACTATATTTCTGCACATAGCTTCTGTCAACTCTGTGTATTACTTTTGGAATAATTTTTCCTTATCAATACAAACACATTAAAGAAAATTTAAAGCAAAATAAATGTAAGTGTTCAACTCTACAAACCTTGGTTTTCAAGGACTAACTGAAATACTAGAGATAACATACTGGGGAGGGAGCAAAAATCAAACTCACTCCTCAGTGTCGAACAGTGGTGAATTTAGCTGATCATTTATCATAAAGGATCTAAGATCACAAAAGAATCCTAATGGTCATTCCAGAAGTGGCATTCAAGGCTCGACATTAACTTGAAAAAATTAAGAGAGGAAAAGGAAAAGAAAAAAAAAGCAAAAGGAAAAGGAAAAAAAAGGAAAAGAAAAAAAAAAAGGAAAAGGAAAAGGAAAAGGAAAAAAAAAGGAAAAGAAAAAAAGGAAAAGGAAATAAAAAGGAAAAGAAAAAAAAAGGAAAAGGATCAATTTGCCTACCTTTTATCTGTTACCTACCAATAACACCACACTGATTTTTATAAAAGTCTTCTGGAAATTTATTGGAAAATTAAAAGCAATCAATATATTTCACTATTACAGATCTATTTTCTAGACTTTCAGAACACACAACTTCTTCAGTAACGATACGACACATTACAGTTGGCTGTAATGACCTTTTAATTTATAAGTTCTGAAAAAAAACCCCAAACCACTATAAAGTTAAAATAACAGCTAAAGAGAGATAAATCAGATAATATTAAGAAGTAATAAAATGTCAGTTGCATAAAGCAGTATTAGCATATGCTTATATTAACTTGGCTATGACTCAAAGCTGAGAAAAATTACTGTTTCTGTTTTGATGATATTGGATCGAAGCTATGATGAAAAATTCAGAAGGTAACTGAACTGATCTATGAGTATAATTATTTAGCATAGCATATTCCCATGATTCATGAGACCACAAATTATGTAGACCTCCTCCCTACACCAATGTCAACCATATGCTTGTAAAACAGGATTATTCTCATCTAATTTCAGGTATCTATAGCATAAGTATCTATCTCCAGGCTTGGTGTCTACACATACCTAGTCAAAATAATCAATAGAGTCTAGGCAGAAATTAATGTCAACCTAAGTAAGACACCCACATCTGGCCAGGTCAATGACCTCTACAGTTCATTGAGCAGATCAGTATCGCAGGAAGCAGAGAGAGCATTTTGCTACGGTGAATAAAGATGCCCTCTATGGATGCTGCAGCACCCAGACAGACACTGTTAATTCTCACTGATTCCAGCTCCCAGAGTCTGTGTCTCCCTACCAGGGTAATTTCTGGCCAGACACACATACTCCTGGAACAGAGCATTAACTAGACTAATACTCTACACATACTATTGTTATTGCCACAGTAATGCTATGAATTATCACCTTGTACCCAGAATGAAACTGTAAGACAGGAGACTTCAAGCTGTGCAAATGCACTGCCTAACATATATTGCAGGTAGGTTGAAGACAGGGGAAAAATATATGCTTTAAGTATATATGACTGTTTGAAGGAACCCAGGGTTATGGGCTATCTCTGCCATCTGTTACCTGACAAAAAGCAACTGGTTTATATCCACCAGGGATTACAACCCCTACAGGGTGACAGATGCTGATTTAAGTCCTCAAACTGATCCTTGACTCTTGGGAGGGAAGCAGATCCAATCACTGGTAGCCAGACACCTCCAGGATCCCACAGTACTGGGAGCCTGCATGCAAAATTTGTTTTGTACATCATCACTGCTTCTAATGAAGCAGCAAGTCTTGTGCTTTTCAGATTCACCTGGGATCACTCGTCAAGCAAACAAATTTACAGACAAAAATAAGTTCGTAATGGCAAAGCTAGAGGTTTATATTTTTTTTTATTATAAACACAGCAAACAATTACAGGGCAAAAAAAAGAACCCCTCCCCCCCAACCCCAGCATGTTAGGACATAATCAAATATTGAATCTTTTTGCTGGTTGTCATTTAAGATCTCTGAATACATCTTAGGAGAAGTACCTTAGTAACACTCTGCCATTCCAAACGCTACCTTTCACCATCAACCTCTTTCTCTGGTACGAAGAATAATTAGAGTACATCCCTAATTATATCCTATGGGTTTTCCTGGTTTCTATAGAACACAAATGAAAAGTCAAAGCATATTAAGAAATTTTAGTTTCTATTTTAAGTTAGAAACATTCACTAAATTGCAGCTTTGTTTAGGTGCAGCTGTTCAGGTATTTTGGAACTGCGTTGCCCTGGCTATACAGGGAGTTCTTTGTCAAGCTCATTTAACATCTTTGTGTCATTTCCTGCTTAAGAACTTAACTGCACCCTTCTCTTTTCTGATAGTCTGATAGATATTATTTTAAAAATATATTTAAGGTCAATATTTTCTTAATGTACTCTAACAGAAAAACAGCTGTGATAAGTCTTATAGCATCTAGTATTTCTGTAATATCTTAGAGATCACAAATAGGGTCCAGGAATTGGATGGTTAGGCACATAATCTCCAATTATTCTATCCAATCCTATCAGTTCTGAGACAGCATCAGAGTAATGTTATACAGTTAAATAATCTTGCTGCTGAAGAGACTCCTCATGATCACATTATCTTACATGTTTTCATGAGAGGGAAGTTAAGACATAGAAAATTCTATATTAAAGCCATGAAATAAACTAATAGTAGCTATATTCTGATCCTGCACTTAAGTGTAAATCACTGATAATGAACACTTCTGATTTGACTTGCTACAATAACCATTAATTTTAGTTACATATAAAATTTACCTCTATATAAAATTCAGTTATATATAAAATTCATTATATTTTGCAGTGATTTAAAACCAATAGAACACAATAAATAACAATACAGTTAATGAATGTGAATGGGCGATCCAGAAATGTGCCACTGACATAATGATATGAGTGAATTGAGTTAGTGCACCTGCAAAGTATTAAAGGTCAAAGTTTGTACTTACCTCTTTTTGATACACTATCCCAGCTTCAAAAAGCTTAAGAAAGAGATATTGTGTCCATTTGTAGTACTCTGGTAAGCAAGTGGTTATTTCCTGCAGAAATGAAATAAAATAAAAACCCTTGAAGCTATTCTTAGTATTTTCTTACAGTGTTTTAACTTAAGCAATTCACTCAGGAGTGTATAATATATGCTACAGAGAAACATAAATACAATTTTGGGTAATGTTTACAGTGAGTGATATTCACCTGTACACAAAACCAGAGAACAGGGGTGTTGTGTGGGTTTGATGTGCAAAGAAAAGTTTCCCTGTTAACATGGAATATGAGAATGCTGTGAAATCAGTGCTGATATAGAAGAACAGAAGATGAATGGAAATGACCATAGCTGCCTGACCAGGGAAACAGCAAAACCAGAAGGAAGGAGAACTCTATCAAAGGAGTCCTCTGAGCCACGTTGCCTTTTCCTCTGTTGCTCAGCAATGAAAAGCAGGAACAGAGAGTGTCGACTGTTGGGAGGGAGCTGGGAGCTGGCGGCAGAGAAGCGAGCAGCCTGGAGAAGCCTACGGCTGAAGCAGGAGATGCAGCCACAGCGGAACAGCACCGAGGAACTGAGACTGTTGACAGATGGAGTGTGTGGGGCAGACAGGAAGGAATATGGGGTAAGACTCTAAACCTCAAGATGAAAGACTTGCAAAGGATATCTTGCAATCAAAGGTCAAATGAGTGACCATTTGAGTGAGGCAAGTGAGCTCAAGGTAGGAGGATGCTCTGGTTTAACGTATGGAAGAGTAGTCACAAATGAAGGGGATTGTTAAGAGGGAAATAAAGACAGAAAAAATAAAACACGACATAAGAAGAAATGGGAGTTAAGAGAACAGCAGGTAACAATATAATGGATAGCTTTTTTTAAACTTGCAAACATTTAATAAGTTTTTAGTGAACTCTAATAATTAAAAACCAACCTACTTATCACCTGCTTACAAAATTCCAAATTTAAAACGTCTGTTATTAAAAAACCCCAAAATCTGCATTTCAGACTTCTCAATATGCAAAGACAACTACAGGATTACATGATTTTAGACTCCCTATCTTCTCTACACAAATGTAGTGCTTTACAGGCACAATGGATACACATACACTTTCACCCACGTATTTTAAACTTTAGCCAAAGTAAAAACAACTGTGTAACTCAGTATTTAAGCTCTAATCACATCATAAATACATTACAACAAACAGATCACATTTCCCTTCTCAACAGCTTTCCTGTTTAACTTGCACTTGTTTAAAGAAGAAGTATTTATACAAACTTTGTGTTTGACCACACTTGTACTTACTGAAGTAGAAGATGACTTCTATGCTGAACTTCAAATCAGCAAGAACTTCTCTTCATTTTAGAGTTACAGGGCTGACAGCAAGCCACTAATAAAATATATTCTGTTTGCAAATAGTTACCAACTACCTGAAATAGCTCCAAATGTGAAATAGCTCCAAATGTCTACAACTTTATACCCAGGCTTTCCTATCATCTAAGCTTCCCATGACATGCAACAGCAGCAATATCATCTGCTACTCAAATGACATCTGAAACATTCTAGCATAAAAAAAATGTATTTTTTCTACAACTTTATATTCCAGTGCTGAAATGTTGCTTTGAACAATTAATATGACCTTTGAATAGATATGCCTCAAAAGTGTGTATAAGAGGCTTTCAAGACCAGAAAGAGACATTTAATAGCAAGTTTTCAGCACAGCGTGTGAAGACTTAGTCATGAAAAAGTTCTTGATTAAATCTCTATGCTTTGCACTGAAAAAACACTTGATAGACATCTGATTTCCATCTTTCCAACTAAACATTATGCATTTCATAATTTTTATTTTTTTTCCCTGCTTCTCCACACAGTAGAGTTCTGCCAGTGTGATGCCAGTGTACAGGCAACAGAGCTTCATCACCGTAGTATCAGAGACACAAAAGAAGAGCGACAATTCTTTTTGGTACAATATAAGATTATGCAAGCAACAGGCAAACAGGTAAGACAATTGAAGTGAGTTGTCAAATAAAAATAGTGAAATGGACTGAGATTTTTCCTTTTGTTCCTGAATGGCAGATGTGTGTTAAGTGAAAGAAAAAGAGGTGACACTTCCCAGTTATCAGGCATGTTTAGGATACGGTACAAGCTAACTCCCGGGAACAGAGTCTCACGTCCATGCTCTCGCACAAGTTGTAAATTGAAATTTTTTAGAAAGAAATGCAGCAGACTTTACACTGAAGAAAATTTGTTGTGTAGTCATTGAGCTGCAAAAAGATAATTCAAGCTCATCATTTAACTTTATAACCATGAAGGTTTGAAGTAACGTTAACAAAGAAAGAGAAATTACATCACTACTAAGTGAAATAAGCTGCTGCTGACAAGCCAGCAACCTCTTGTCAATCTCAAAATGTTTTATTTTTTCCCCCCTATCGTTTAGCACATTAAAACTTATGGTGAAAAATAATTTTTGCATGTATGCCAGTTACTGATCTTGATTAAATAAATAATATCTGGTAAAAAGCTTCCATTAGGCTGCTATCATGCTTAAATTAAGGTGAATGTTAACACTTCTATTTATACTTTATGAGCATGTCGAAGATTTGCAGTGCATTAACTGACTTACTTCAGCAATACAGAAAACCGTTAATAAAAGTTTGCAAAATACCACCCTGCCAAAAAATGCAACTTTCTGCTTCTCATTTGTGAGCTGAAGACTAGCATACAGCATACATACAGAACCCCATATCATAAAGCAGTTCAGTGATTACATATAAAACAGGATATTAGCATATTTTCTCCAAAGATAAAATATATACTACAAATCAGAACCCTTTTTACAGATATGAACTATGCTGCTCAGCTGTCCACTGCAGGTGCTCTCCAGGGCTCTGTGACAGATTTACTGATAACTGCAGCATTTCAGAAAGTATTATGAAATGGGAGGGACAGCATCTCCCTCTTCCCCCCAATCATTTTCCCTTTCCCTTTTGTCAGCTTGCTAGTTAAAAAAGAGCATCAGATACTGTCACCAAAATGCATCTTTATCACTGGTTACTGTTACTGCTCCTTATTCCTACAGCAATGACATTCACTAAAAAAAAAATATTAAAAAATCATTAAAACAATCCACCTTTAAAAGAGGTCTGCTTTTAAAAATAGCAGCTATTGCCAAGGTATAGAAGAGGAATAACCCTACCCTTACCAAAAACCTACTTTCCTTAATGTCCGTATCACAGCACAGCAATTTGCTCCTGACAAACAGCATGATGGAGAGGTCAGTATCATATTTATTTCTGCAAATCAATTTTCAGTTACGGACTAAAGAGCAGCATTACAATTTGACAGCAGTGTGACTTGGGAAGCAACTGGCTCATGTTAAGGTTAAAGGGCCATTCATTATTAGAAAAACTGATAAAAACCTACAGCTACCAAAAATATGGGAAAACCAACAGTAAAGAATCCTGGAAAAATAAAGAAACCCTTAAACTGAAGGAAAGATTTTCATTATTAATAAAAGAAAAACTATTTCTCAAATGTCTTGTTTTATAATTCATCATTTGTTCTAAATCTGTTCCATTCTTACAACTTTCTATTACGCAGCTCTGAACCTAAAATTGTTTTTTGTTTGTTTGTTTTTTAAGAAGGTTCTATCTTCAAGCTACTTTCATGGCTATTTTTTTTAATTAGAAGTAACATTTACAGCCTGTATAAAAGTGTTTATTTGTTGTAAGATCCACCAGGCTTTGTGAATAACATATAATTAGACAGGAGAGAGTAATTTCCTAGTTTATTACTAATAATTTATTTCTAGCAGAATCTTATGCTGAAGACAGCTATGTTGCACTTGATACTTATTAAAAAGGTGATAAGGAGAAAATGTCTGAACGGATTTTTTTCAGAATCTATTTGGGAAGATTAAACAGTCTTTAATCTACTATTTGCCTGTTTTGGTATTAAAGGGCATGTACCACCCTATCTGGAAGTAAAATTATTTGAGGTTTAGAGCTAGACCAAACTACATTTCTAAATTCATTTGAATATTTGTATTTCGGAGGCCCTTAGTTTCATGCTTTATCAGCCACAAATACAAATGTCATGCAGTGCCTGTATTTTGAAGCATGAATACCTTTCCTGCAAAAAAGTAGCCTTGTATCAACGGTTTCCTTTTTTATTTGATTACAAGCAGGGTGACTGATTATCAGTGATATGTGGATAAAAAGAGAATTTGATAGGTAATGCTCTATCTCCTGTTAGTTTTATGTACGCTCAGGCAGCGCACAAGAATGACAACTTCAAAACTGAACAGAAAAATATCTGCACAAAGCAGATCTACCAAAGCTTTCATCTTTTTAATGTACAGTGCACAAGGGGAACATTCCTCTTATGCAAAAAATTATGTCACTTGGCACGCATGAATTGAAAAGACTAAAAAAATGTTGGCAGTACCAGCTACCTTCTAAAATAAATTTCCAGACTGATAATACAGTGGTGAACGGATGGCTTACTGGCAACATGCATTCAGCCTGATGGCACTCCTGAGCCAGAGAAAGGAAAAATGTTACACGCTCTCCATCCCTTCTTGCTGATTATACGACTCTTTGAAAATGATACTGCCTAATGCCCCTGAAAATCATGTTTAAAAGAAGTGGCAAGCAGTTTGCTCTGCTGTCTGGGATAGCATTTTGGAGAAATCTGATCACTAGGAATGCCCAACTATTGTTATCTTAAAAACAAAATATAACCACAATATTTTTTATTTTCCAGCTGTTTTTCATGTCTCTCAGAGACATATCATCCATCCTCAAACTGCAGCTTTTTAACCCTGGATCTGAGAAACATAAATGTCTGGAATATAAATGTTCTATCTCTTATTTATTATTTTTAAAAATTCTCTCCCCAGAACCACACCACTTTCAAAGTGATTTAAAAATATAACATTTATTACTTGAGGCACTTAAAATACCTACATGTTTCAGGGGAAAAAAATTAGATCACTATTAGTACTCAAAGCTACCCTAAAACAAGTACTTACAGAGCTATTTTACGCACTTAATTACATTTCTAGTTTGCTCACTTTCTGTTAGCTTATTTTCTGTTTAGGAGAATAATTTTCAAGTGTCTTTGTAACCTGGCTTTCTGAAATTATCTAATTAGCTGCTAATAATGCCTTATTTGTGGTCCTTACTGGTTAAGTAATTTCACGGACTGCTACAACATAAAAATACTTGTGCATTTTGATTTGTAAGACAGAGAGGCCAATGACAAAAACCCAGATAAAGAAAAGGAGACTTTTAGTATCCCAGGTCCACTAGGATTTGCTCATAATAATTTTACAAAGCAATAAAACTACAACTAGTCTTCCTCTTCCTGCACAGGACTTTCTTGAATAGCAAACTTGACTTCATAAGCAGTGAGCTTCCTCAGCACAGCTACATGCACAGGTATTCAAAATGTACTTTCTGTTATTTTCCTACTTTTTTTTTTTCCCCTTAACACTTGTAAAATGGTAAAATTTACTTAAGTTTCCTTCACATTATCTATGCATACACTCTAAGCTGACCAGAGGACAGAGATGGTTAAGATACAAGGTTTGCACTTAAAAAGGCAATTTACCACACACTAAAATAGGGATCCAAGGTAGGGGAACGGGTTCCCCCAGGGATACATTTGCTAGGTACTATGCTCTGTCGCCATGAAGGAGCACATTTAAGCAACACCAATGAAATTAAATTAAAAACCAGCTCCTGTTTTGTACAATACTCTTGGTTAATCAGACTAACCCATATAAAAAGTGTTTTTCTTGCATTTTTCATAGGAGTTGCTAACTATAGTGGGTTTGTTTGCATTGTTACAGTATTTTGTAAGCCACTGATTTAGTGCCACAGAATAATAAAAAAAAAATACTTCTTACCTCAAAGAGCTGACTTTTAAGATAAGTACCTGCACAGCACAGTGCATTGCTGTGCAAAGACACTCGGGTTAGCCCAGATGGGGTGCAGCTGAGGCAGTAAGATGCTCTGCCCAGCCTAATTAGCCTTGCAGAAAAATAGGCTTTATCAGCCTGGAAAACACACTCTATCTACCACAGCTTAGCTGTTCCGTTTCCAAAGGTAGTTCTTTCATGGCTTTCAAATATCCATGCATTTGGAGATCATGTATTACAGATCTATTTCAGGCATCATACATTTTTTGCAATGAATAAACGTATCTATTTCTAATGGTTACCATCCAGGTCAATTCTTACTCCAGTTAGTAAGTCAGGCTTTCTAGGTAAAATAAGATTTAACTAACCAAGGAGTGAAAACTCCAAAATTCATTGTGTCTCAAGGAGCACTTTTTCACAGAATCACAGAATGTTGGGGATTGGAAGGGACCTCAAAAGATCATCTAGTCCAATCCCCCTGCCAGAGCAGGAACCTAAATGAGATCACACAGGAAGGTGTCCAGGCGGGTCTTGAATGTCTCCAGAGAAGGAGATTCCACAACCTCCCTGGGCAGCCTGTCCCAGTGCTCCAACACCCTCACTGTAAAGAAGTTTCTTCTCAAGTTTAAGCAGAACCTCCTGTGTTCCAGCTACACCCATTGCCCCTTGTCCTACCATTGGGCATCACTGAGAAGAGCCTGGCTCCATCCTCATGACATTTGCCCTTTACATATTTATTAATGAGGTCTCCCCTCAGCCTCCTCTTCTCCAAGCTAAAGAGACCCAGCTCCCTCAGCCTTTCCTCATAAGGGAGATGCTCCACTCCCTTCATCATCTTGGTGGCTCTGTGCTGGACTCTCTCCAGCAGTTCCCTGTCCTTCCTGAACTGTGGGGCCCAGAACTGGACACAATATTCCAGATGTGGCCTCGCCAGGGCAGAGTAGAGGGGGAGGAGAACCTCTCTTGACCTACTAACCACACCCCTTCTAATGCACACCAGGATGCCGTTGGCCTTCCTGGCCACGAGGGCACAGTGCTTTTTAGCAGTTTTTAAAATCTTACCTTTCAAACCCACAAACTATGTGCCCCTAGAATATTCTAAATTATTTTAATTACACAACTGTTCAAATCACCTTAGTTGTTTAGCATCAAAGCCCTTTCCACAAGTATCCAGAGACTTCTGGAAGTTCATTAACCTAAACATGGTTTACTAGAAAAGTGAAGGAAAGCCTCAAAGAACAGGTACAGAGATGAGAAATTATTTTCCCCTGTATACTTATACTTCCTGCCATGGTTTTCAGTACTGCCAGTTCTCCATCTCTTCTACAGAATGGAAGGGTTAAACAGAAGTCCAAATGCAGAAATGAATTTTCTCTTCCACTTGAAAGGCACTCTGAACATTCAGCTCCGGTGTGTTCCATAATACAGACAACATATGATTTCACTGTTTTGAAGTATTGCTGCATTACACATACAGAACACCTCTGAGGTACTAACAGTTTCAAAGATAAGAAAATAATTGTCAAGAATGTGTGCAGTAAATCCTCCACAACAAACCTTTTATTTTCAGAGTAACTTTTTGGCTATCAAGAAAATGAAAATCACACTAAAAAGGCTTACGCTGAAAATCTTGCCATATATATGACATGATGAAATATGGTTTTTAGATGTAAGACATACAAATAAACAACTTCACCTTCAAGATTAAAGATTAGACACTGGAACAGGTTGCCCAAAGAGGTTGTAGATGCCCCCTCCCTGGAAGTGTTTAAGACCAGGCTGGATGAGGCTTTGAGTAACCTGATCTAGTGTAAGGTGTCCCTGCTCATGGCAGGGGGGTTGGAACTAGATGATCTTTAAGGTCCCTTCCAACCCAAACCATTCTATGATTCTATGATTCTATGAAAACAGAGGGCAGGTCTCAGACTGCCAGAAAATTATTCCTTTTCCTTTTCAGATCTACAATACTGCTATAAAAATCCAAGATTAGCATCTCCATCACTCTATTCAGAATCATGTGAAGGTGATAGGCAATGGTTATTGCTGAGAATATAAAGATAGTGACTGACTTTGATTCACTGGTAAATGCAATAACCTTACAATTGCTTCAAAAATTAATATTTTTTTTATCTTGAAAATGACATTAGCTTCTCTCGGACCACACTGGTAAGGTTTTTAAGGTGACCACCTGATACTCCAGCATTAGTGTTTTAAATAAAATTTCTATCTTACAAAACAGTCATGATATGAACACCTACAAAAATGCACATTTATGCTTCAAATTTAGAATAACATAACCAAACTACCATTTCAAGTTATTATCTTTAAACCCTTCAGTAGATTATAAAAACACACACATTGAAAAAAGCACTCCACAATATATACCTTAACACAAAGGCATGCTGCCTATTTAGATTACTGCCTGACTTCTAACACAGAAGATTGCTACTTTGAATGAGTTGAAAAGGCAGAGAGAATAATTGAAATGCAAAACTGAAATTACTTAAAAAAAAAAAAGATTCTCTTAAACCTTGAGATTATCAGATGATGTCAGTATGTCAAAAGTAAGAGAAGTTTGATAAGAAGCTTGAGAGAAGCTTGATTTCCCACTTTTTTCAAGTGTAACTTTACAGTTTAACAACTTAAGCTGGTCACTTTCAAAGACTTCTGTATTGTCATAAGCAAAATGGTGAAATTCCATGTTTTAAAATGTTCCACCATACAATAAAGCAGCATTCCTTAAAAAAAAAATAAAATCTTACCCTTTCCCATGTGAAAGACAGACCTAGTGCATCAAACTGTTTCCTCATGTGTTGAATATTACTGCAAAATAAAAAAATTAAAAAATTAACTTAAAATATTTTTATAATGAGATTGTATTTAAACTCGGGTGCTTGTGAAGATTTTCTGAGAAATCAAAAGCACGGGTTAACCTCTAAATACTATTATTTTGTTAACAGTGACATTCAAGGAATTGTCAGAATATTCACCTTATATAATAATTTTAAAAGTCCCTAGCGTATTCTGGTTCAATTTCAATGGCTATGTGTACAAGACAATGATTTTTCTTCTCAATTTCAGCATAACTGAAAAGCAAATATGGCACTGCAGTTTGAGGGAAATGTTCCTGAGGCATCACTTCTCATTATCTTTAATTATCTTTACTGCAGTTGAGCCAAAGGGCACTCTGAAATCTTCAGAGTGCACTAGGATGTACTGCCACAATCAGCTTAATCCTGCTCTATTCTGGCCATGCTATCCTGGTGGTGTTTTGCTTTGGCTCTGGTGACCGTGTGGCTATAAGATGAGTTGAATCAGCTTACCCATTCAACTGAAGACAAGCCCTATGAAGTTCTCCAAAAACTCCCCACCAGTTTTCTTGCTTCCCTCTGATCAACAGGCTGATCACACCAATACTGTGGCTGCAAACACAGCTGAGCCAACGCAAAGGAGGTGGTGGGAACATATATCCTGAGAGGTGACAAGTAAGCCCTAAACTTCTGGTGGCAGCACAGTCATAGATAAACTTAAGTCAACTGTGAAACTGTAGGGCTAAACCTTGCCCCAGATGGATTATATTCAAAATGTAAAATAAGATACACAGAATATACAGTGAAGCTTCAGTATGAAAATGTACTAAATACAATTTATTGAAATACTGACAACTACACAATATTAACTAGTGACCCAGTGTGAATTCATTCACATAATTTAAAATTGCTTAAAATTTCTTATGGACTTTAAACTTTCTACTGAAATTCATAACGTCAGATAAAGCATCATCTATCCTCCCACAGTGGGTAATTTGGCAGTCATGAAACCAAGCATTTAATTCCGATCCAGGACAAACTTGTACTGCTGAAGAACTGAGGAATACAAGTATCCCGTATTAACGGTTGCAGAGCCCCAGTTACACCAGAAAAGGCTTGCCAACAGGGTCACATCAGTGCAGGTATACCAAGAAACCCTCCTATGGACTCACACCTTCCACTAGGAGAAAGCACACTTTCAGGAGTACTTCTTATATTAAAGTCCTACTCAAAATGAACTGTACCAATTAAAAAAAAAACATTCAAATTTGAGTGTATTTTCACAAAGCTTCTGCCACTATACTACCTCTTACTAACACACACGTCCGTGTGTGTTCTCTATAAGGAACTCTGTCTTCAATTTTTTTTTTCCTAACTTTAGGAATGTAAGAAGTCAATTTTAGCTCATTTTAAATCACCTCTTCAGAAAATTATGATGCTCTGAAATCTGGTTGTTTACTCCTGAACCAAGTAAGTTGAAATGCTTACAGTGTGCCCCTTTGCACATGGGTGGCTGGCTCTGCTTCAGGGATGACTAAAACACATCAGGTTGCTATCACACCATCACAGCTTCACCATCATCAGTTCAGTCATCCCTGCTGCAGGCATGAGAAACATTCAGGACAGGGACAGTGGAGAAAACGGGAGACAGTAATTATTTCAGTGGTCAGAATTTATATTGCTGGTATGATAAACCAACTCCCTTCATTAGCATAATTAAAAAAAAATGGGTATTGTTGTTATAACCTTATTATTTAACTCTTAAAATGAGACAATCACTCTTTTCAGGACTAAAAAAAATTTCAAAGTAAAATTTTCTTCCAGTACAAAACATCCTGTACTTGTAACGACGAGCTGAGCTGCTTTCAGTGCAGGGAATAACATGCGCCTATCTACAAGAAAAGAGAAAACCAGAAAAACACAGAAAGCAGCAGAAGAGAATCAGCTCAGGCTGTGCCCTGCCACAAGCTTTTTGATACGACCCAGACAAGCAGCTTCGATGAGACAGGCCCTTCGCTATGGCAGTCTCTGCCCAACATGCCCACCGCTTCTCTGTTGAGCCAATCCAACAGGGTCAGCTGGCAGAAAGGCTTTCTCTGAGTGAGCAAGCTGAGGCAGTTCAACAAGACGTCCTACCGGTGCCAAAGCACAAGAGGTGAGGAGGGACCATGTAGTAGGGAGGAGGGGACAACACTGACCCTTTTGTAGTCACAAGTACTTAATATCAGCCTTCTTGTCTCAAAACTACAACCTTCACTTTGTGCCTCATTTGTCATGTAGGTAAGCATCACCATAACCCTCTTCGATCTGGTGAAGATTCCATCAAGATAACTGAGTTAAAAATGAGGAAGCCAGATAGAACAGGTATGTAGGTTTGTTTTAGAGCAGAGCTTCAGTAGTCTTATTGAAGGAAGACAAAAACCATCAATCTCCTGACCATGCAACAATTTAACTGACAGCCCACAACACGCTGCACAGTGATGTTTCATAGAATCATAGAATGGTTTGGGTTGGAAGGGACCTTAAAGATCATCCAGTTCCAACCCCCCTGCCATCAGCAGGGACACCTTCCACTAGATCAGGTTGCTCAAAGCCTCACCCAACCTGGCCTTGAACACTTCCAGGGAGGGGGCATCCACAACTTCTCTGGGCAACCTGTTCCAGTGTCTGACCACCCTCACAGTGAAGAATTTCTTCCTAATATCTAATCTAAACCTCCCCTCTTTCAGCTTAAACCAATTTCCCCTTGTTCTGTCATTACCTGCCCTTATGAAAAGTCCTTCCCCAGCTTTCTTGTAGCCCCTTCAGGTACTGGGAGGTCACTATAAGATCTCCCCGGAGCCTTCTCTTCTCCAGGCTGAACAGACCCAACTCTTTCAGCCCATCCTCATAGGAGACCCTTAAAAGAACAAAACCAGGTTTTTGTATCTTGATAACTGGTTCTCATGCATATACTCATCTAAAACATACATGAAGGAAATTTTAAAAAAATGAGGATAAATAACTCTGAATTTGTGTGCAGTGCACTCACGCCTAAGTGAAACCAGTTGCCATAATATTTCAGCTGGAAAAGTATCAAGTATGGCAACATGAGACCACAAGCATGAAAAAACCTTAAAAGAAACAGCATTATCAAAGAAAGTAATGGATCAAGGTCCAAAAAAAAAATCACAGCTAGATTACTGCACCTAGAGCACAATAAACAGCTTCACTTCAGAAGAATGGTTTCCGAGTCATTTATAGAAATTAATGTTCACTTATGTAACATTTTAAAGAATATTAGGGGAACACACCACCTAATTCTGTGGTCTAAAGCCCAAAACTTTCACAGAAATCAGTAGCAATAATAGCTGCTTATCACTTTTCAAAACTCAGTCTCAAAGAAAAAAACTATCATCTTCCTCTTTCACATGGTACTGAAAACTGCTATAAACCTAACCACGTAGCTCATAATTTTCAACCGTGTATTTTATACTGAGATTTAGCTCACCATAATGAAATTCTGATTTATTTCTTACTCACTGATTTGGGTGTTCGGGAAATGTCACTCTTTCAATATTCTATCTTTTTACAAGTTAGAAGTGATTTGAGATGAAAACCTTGAAAATCATCCCGATACATTTGTTTTTCAAAACGGAATCATCTGCACAGTCCCATAAAACATTGGCAAATGACCCTGGTTCTTTCTGTACCGTCTTTCTTCTCCTTCTACATTGGTTTTGCTCTGTTTTGCTCATTTTTGGGGCCACAGTACAGGTATTCACAGTGGAAATGTCTACTCTGCCCTGGTGAGGTCGCATCTGGAATATTGTGTCCAGTTCTGGGCCCCACAGTTCAGGAAGGACAGGGAACTGCTGGAGAGAGTCCAGCACAGAGCCACCAAGATGATGAAGGGAGTGGAGCATCTCCCTGATGAGGAAAGGCTGAGGGAGCTGGGGCTCTTTAGCTTGGAGAAGAGGAGACTGAGGGGAGACCTCATTAATGTTTATAAATATGTTAAGGGCAAATGTCAGGAGGATGGAGCCAGGCTCTTCTCAGTGATGCCCAATGGTAGGACAAGGAGCAATGGGTGTAGCTGGAACACAGGAGATTCTGTTTAAACTTGAGAAGAAACTACTTTACAGTGAGGGTGACAGAGCACTGGGACAGGCTGCCCAGGGAGGGTGTGGAGTCTCCTTCTCTGGAGACATTCAAGACCCACCTGGACACCTTCCTGTGTGATCTCATTTAGGTTCCTGCTCCAGCAGGGGGATTGGACTGGATGATCTTTTGAGGTCCCTTCCAATCCCCAACATTCTGTGATTCTGTGATTACTTAAATCCATTAAAAACTACCTTTGTGTCCAGCTTGCAGGGTGAAGCCCATGTTCAACTGCAGCATTTTCTGCTGGTAAACCAAACGCATCCCATCCCATTGGATTTATCACCTGAAAGGAAAAAGGAAAAACACAACCTTACGTAAGCTTCTGGAATGGCATCAACAACATGCACAGGCCTCTACATAACGAACGGTGTTTTGCGTCCAAATAACGGGTTTGCATTTCAGCATTTGCTTTGTCTGAATCAAACCTCTTCAAAACATGCCCACTACAGCTAAATCTATTTTAAAAGACTCATATGAAGCATATTTGCTACCTACAATGTGATGTTAGAGGGAGCTTAAAGTATTATGTAATAAATCCTCATGATTATTTCAATAGCAGGTTAACAATGACAAAAATCAATCCTTTGTAAATTTGGGACGTGGTCAAAACTAGCAGTTGATGCTACTGCTAAACAGAATCAAATATTCATCCTGAAGAAGAAAGCAAACAAAACTAACGGAATCAATGGTTCTATAACTGTACCTGATGTGTAGCCTACTTTTTTTCTTCTTTTTGTTCAAGAAAAAAAAAGAAAACTATCCTATGATAATCTTAAATCCAACAGATAAATTGAAGACGATGAGGAAAACTGTTTTAGTCAAACTTTACTAAAATATCTTTTGTAAATACAGACTGCAGACTGATAAACTGCATTTCATGACCACAAATAAAGGCAGAAAAAAATGTTTACTACCAAATATAATAGATAAATTCTGTTGAAATATATATATCTCTTTCCTATTAACATACAAATTATTTAGAAAAATAATCTAGCAATAGAGTAAGTATTTTAAAAACATGTTTAATAACCTGGGAAAGAAAGGCCAGTACTCAAGATATTGTCATTTAAAACACTTATGTATATTGGATACCTGATAAAACCAAACCCGTTTCTTACCCCCACAAATGTGCTGTAAATATGCAATAACTATGATTAAAGTTACACAAGTTTTACAATAGCAAAATATGATTAAGTAACATTTTAGAGGTTGTACAAAATGAAAACTTCTACCCCTAAAAATATAAAGAACTTGTTCTTTACTGGCATGTAAGCAAACAAGCAATAAGAAAGCAAGCCCAGCAATACTACTCTCATAAGCTATCTCCATATGAAAAATCTGTTCATTTCTGAAGCATAAGAGCTACTTTTGTCACTGGTTTGAATTATTTTTATTCTTCTTTGCCTCAACCTTCCAATCCTCTGACTTCAATGGATTCTTTCATAAAATATATTTTGTAGACATGTTTATAAAGGTGCCCTAGGCAGCAACTCAGTGTAAAAGCAACAGAATGTAACAGATGTGACTCCTCAGCATTCTTGTTTTCAATACTGGGCTAAAACTCAACCCACTGTGTATCATTACCCTGCTGGTGCAGCAACAAAACCAAAGGTATTAACCTGTGATCAACTGCGATTCAAGTCAGTAGAGTAAGGGTCCATGCACAGCACATTTTTTATATATAAATCTAACAGAAACAGGAATTCTATTCTATGTTACAATTTTTCCCTATAATCAGACAGTTCCTCGTATTGCACTGTCAGAAATAAGTCAGATTCCCTAACTACCCACTTCCTCACATTTTAAGTGTTACATGGAGCCTAAACCACTTGACAACACCTTGTTGAAGCCCATTTCTCCCTAACCCTTCTCCACTCCTTCCCCTCACCAGTAATCAAAACTATTGGTATAAAAGAGAAAAAAAAGAAAGGTAAACTTTACATAAACTACAAATCTTAATAGAATTTTTTAAGGACACACTAAAATATTAGTTTCTGCAGCTCAGCATTTTTTGACCACTACTACTGCTGACCACCTGTCTCTGGACAGAAATGATGAAATAAACCAGATTTTTTTTTCATATATAATATGTATTTTCTCTTATTTTAACCCCATTTGTTTAGACAAATGCCCTACATTTGCAACCCTACAAATGCCTTCTTTTACTACAAGCTGATGCACATTAAATGATATTAAAAAAACTACTCTTGATTAATTTTTGTAAAATTTGGTTTCTGAAGAGCTCCTGGATACAGACAGGCAGCCAAAAGCAAGGCACAATCTGATTTCTCACACTCATGAGCAAAAAGATGCGGAAAAAAAAGCTCCACTACCAGCTACAGGCTCCCCAAAAGGGCTGACTGATGCTCCAGACAGCTAATGTGCCGACATTTTATCAGTGTACCATCAGTGCTAGCAGGAGTTATCTGCTCACACAGATCTTCCCAATTCTAGCATGTATATTAAAAATATCATACAGTGTATTCACTTATCACATTCAAAAGACAGTTCAATTTAACAAGCAATAGCATTCCTCAAGTTAAAGGGCTGAAGAAACACGCTAATTCAAGTTTCAATCAGAAACTTGAATTGAAAGATACATTAAAAATATCCTCAAATTAATCTCCAGGATAGATCTATTTATGTAGTTGCTATAGAGATGAATGTAACACACACAGTGGTTTAGAAAATGATTTCAAGTTTATTGTCTCTTCTACTTCTCTACCGTGAATGGATTTGAAAGGTCTGTGAAATGCATTTGTCTAAACAATAGGTCAGTTGCTTCTGGCTGGAATGTATCTTAGGTATCGTATCTACAGTTAAAATGTCACGGTCTCCACACAACACTTGGTGTTACATCTTAACTCTACCCAGCCAACATAAAACACAAGGCTGAGATTACCTACTCAGTTCTGAAAAGCATCAAAAATCTCAAGAGACGTGGAAGGAGAGAAGAAAATATATCACTAACATGTCAGAAGTTGGCATAAAGAATAAAGAAGCATTTCAACTGTTCAAAACAAAGGAAAAATAGGAAGAAAGCAATTTTGAAGACCAAAAGGTATTCCTTGTAGCTGCTTGATGGGTTGGTCATAGGCTCTAACTAGCAGAAAACATGGCTGCTCCCTCCAGCATTACAGACGAGCAGAAGAAAAGGAAACAAAGTCATCCCTTTTCTTGATTGCCGACTTAATTGGTTCTGACAGCAGCCTCTAAACCTTATACCGCTAAGGGATCAATTCTGCTCACTAGAGTGACCATTCTTCCAAGCATCGCTTCTCTGTACAGACAGTATTTTCTATAAGCTGCAAGGAGAAATCAAAACAATGAACATTTCTTGTACAGAGAGGAGGCCTGCATACACCCAAGGATGTCTATACCTGGTAAAAGGCAGCAGGCTAGAGTTTCAGGCATTTCAAGACAGCAGAAGCCAGTACTATCTCCAAAGGCAGCTGTGTGTTTCTGGTCTTCACAATGAAGTAGACAGGTAAACTCTTCCTGGTTAAAACTACTAGGTTAGTCTTGAACACAAAGGGCTCAAGATGCTCAGAAGCTCACATGATCCAGCAGGATCAACTCTGAAGGACTGGCATTTCCTACCAATCAACATATTGTGCTTTGCACAGGAACATGATATCTGCGGGGAACAAAATGCTTGGCAACTACCACTCCGAGTGGCCTTTTCAGGAGCAGATTGTTAAAAAGGAAAACAGTTGTATCTTGAAACATTTTAGATCTTAAAGACACTGACTTTATATTAGCTCAAAGCATCGTTGTAAACATCATGTCACAGCATGGTCAAAAATCTGTCATTAACGATGGCTAGAGCTCTTGATGTGACTGTGGGATGAAGCAGAGGATGACACACAGTCAACTCCATTAATTAATTTCTAAAATCTCAGCTCTTCCTCGCAGAAGATTTTAATCTATTCACTGCCGTAACAATCAGCCCATCACACTGACATTAGTAGGCAAGATCAGCAAGTACTACAGAACACAAAGCTGACAATGATCTCATAACACTCACTCCTCTGCCTCCGTCAACATAACTCAGACAGACGATTCAGTGAATTTTCCTTTATGTTTGTAAGGAAACAAGAGACTCTGCTCTCCTGATGTGCTCAGTATGTCTCAAAAATATGACCAAGGAAGCTGACTTATCTTTCTTATATCTAGAACGAAGTATTCTAAATTTTAAGAAAGACGGTAGAATTAGTGTCCAAAATGCCTGTAAATAAATATATTTATTTCAGACAATGTGTGATAAAAGAACCAAAAATGAAAATTAAGAAGTTTGCCGACAGGTTAGTGACTTGAATCAACGCAGCAAACTCTACATTCCTGTCTCTAGTCACAGCCCCACGACACATTCGACGTGAACTAATGGAAAAGATGGACAAAAGAGGTGATCCGTAGTCACGAGTTCCAGCTGCCAGAAACCACCCCTGGCTCCAGCAGCAACTTTCTGACATCCACCTTGCACTTGATCTCACAGTTGTGCAACCAAGTGAGACAGTAAGGACACGTGGTTGGAGAGGGGTAAGGAGAGGACGGCTGCTCCTTCCACTGGCTGCCTACAATTAGGCTGAACAAGTTGAAAATCTGATTTGTAAATCAACAGATACAAACACAACACTATTTTAAATATAAGACCTACACCTGAATGCAGCCTAAATTGTCTTTTAAGTGTATTAAGTAATAAACACCATTATACAACAGCTAAAAATTACCACTGCCACCACCAAACAAATAAACCCCAAGCAGACAAGGCACACCTGGGAATAGATTAAAATAATGGATTTTTGACTAGTACGTACATTCTAGCAAGGACTATTTCAGTGACTCTCTGCATATTTGCATTCTGATAAGGCACTTTCGAATTAAAAAATAATCAACCCACACAGATTTCTACCAAAACATAATTCTGCTTATAAAATGTTCTCATTTAGTTCTTGTTCTCACAAGATATAAAATCTAAGAAATTATTCTACATCCACACACTACTACAAACATTTAGAAAACAAAAGTGTCGCTTGCCTCCTTAAGCTCACACATTCTCGTATAACATAATTTCATTTACAATAATGTATTGTTTTCCCTTTCTTTCTTTCTTTCTTTCTTTCTTTCTTTTTCTTTCTTTCAAAACGAAACAGAGTGAGCTAATCAACACTTTCAGTACTTGCTACTGGAAAACTAAATTTAAGTAAGATTCAAGTCACATAGGATACTTGTAACACTTTCCACTTCATTTATACCACAGAAAATAACCTGGCAAAAGAACACAACAGCCTCACACAAAAACAGTGGTGGAGGACAGCAGTCAATGACGATCGGAAAATAGAACTGTGCTGAAATAATTCATCCTACTGACGAACTCATCATAAAGTTTTAATTAGACTTGCCTGTCTTTCTTCAATACCATTCACTTTTGCAATTTCAAGAGTATTAAGATTCTCTGCTGAAAGGGAAAACAATTAATGAAAATACATCCAATTTAAAAAAAAGATGATCTGGGTAAAATGAAAACATTCTTTAAGTCATTTTGGAAATATCACTGACAATATTCCAATCCCATCTATCAGGAGCAATTTAGGTATAAATTAAGCAATGTGATCCTAGTGTACAGGAATTGCCCTGTGAATTGCCTAATGATCATTCCTAACTCTGCACAACTTGCATGTGGCAGCCTCACTGTGGTATCAAATACAATTCAAAATTTTATTAAAAAGATATCATAGGAACTATTGAACTGAATCACTCTATTTACTGATTGCTAAGGGAATTATTCTTAGTCCTCTGAGAGGCACAAATTAGCCACTTTGGAATTTATCAAAGACATGAAAATGGTAGCATGATAAAGCAATGGGAAATACTTTTTCCCCAAGCAGCAGTAGATTGGAAATCTGCCATGGTGAAAATCACCATGAATATCTCTATAATTTGTACATGGCACTTTCAAATAATGAATAGGAAATCTCTTCATTTCTGACAGAACTGGTACATTTGAATTCACAATATGCATGTAAATTTACGGAGAAAACACAAACAGAAACTTCACAGTTTAGTTCTGGAGTGGTTTACTAATAGATACAAAATTGTAATTTAAAATATATAAATTACATTTCATAGCATTTTTAAAGAAATATGTTTGTAATATGATCTGTAACTAGAGCTCTCCATACACAAAAATCCTTTTAACTGCACTTCAAGAAAAATGTTATCCTTAACACATATTCAAAAGAGACTAGCTCACTGTGTTCATGCTAAGTAATCTATATGGTTTAGAGTTCCCCCACAAAGACTTCATCTTCAGTAATTAGAATGTAAACAACTTATCTCACAGCAGATGCACTCTACAAATCATCCACCCAGCAACCTAATCCAAGTGCATGACAGCTTATTTCCCATGCACTGCCTACAGGTACCGGAGGAGTGTTGGAACAAGACAACGCTTCACTGCCCAGATCTTCAGGTAAAACAAACAGGACTTCATCACCGACCAGCACCACCCGTATCGATACAACTCTGGTGATAACCTCTGTACGGCCATACACACATTCATGCACCTCCTACTGAAAACTCTGCAAAGCTTACTGCTCATCAGTACACTGAAAAAGTGACTGTCTATTGCGATGTTACACTTGCAATAAATCCCACCCCTGCTCCCCATTTAATAAATGACCAGCCAAACATGTAGTGCACAAAAGGCTGCTGCTCATTAGGTAATGTGTTTGAGTGCTTATTTTCAGCATCATTAGTCACCAAGATCATCTATGGTTTTATGTTGAAACAGTATTTCTTCCAAAAACAAGGGAGAAAAAAAGAGCGACAAATATTTGTTTTCCCACTTAAAATCCTGGTGAAGTACAGGTTTCTGGCAAGTATCAGTAGATCTCAGTGCATATTACCTCTCTACAATATTTTAATTGAAACAAAATCATACCCTATCCAGCTATAAACTGAAATACTAATGTTTCCCAGTTAAGATTTCAAACTACCTCCAATATGAAGAATCTACACAAATGAATTCCAAAGAATGGTTCCAATTTACTGAAGCTCTAATCCCTTTGCAAAAGCATTCAAGCTTATCCTTCTTTAAGTATTATAACAAATAAGTCCATTCTTGCCTGTTCAGAGTAAATCAATATGAAACTTATCTACTATTTTGTCATGAAGGCATTCTCTAAGAAAAATATCTCCACTTTATTCAACATACATTACTCTCTTAATCAACCATATATACTAGCTAACTATGTACACACCCTATATATTCTCCCTCACTGTTTATTAGACAAGAAATATACATCATAGTCTGAAGTCTTCCCTGGGAACTGTAAGTCTGACTGGTTTTACCTGCGTTTTTCATGGTAACAGCCCATCATTCCTCATTGACTTACATACACTTTCAACCTACCTGTATTGCTTCTAGCACAGTTTCATGACTTGCTAGCCAAGGTCAGTTCTACCTCTAAATGTAGAGATATAGTTCCTAAGATTATTTTCAATGACTCTTCCTTTTTCTTTTTTTTAGTTTGGAAATGATGCAAGCAATCACTACTCAAACAGAAAAACTTCAAATTGTGCATACTCCTATTTTTGGTTTCTAAAGCATTCTTTCCTCGTACGTACTGAAGAATTCCAGTAATTCCCTGAATACAGGTAAAAATGTTTTTGGGGGGTATATCAAAATTTCTGTATGATAACACATAACCCTATCATAACCTATAACCATCAAAATAAAGAAATCTTTAACAGACTGGACAACTGTGACAATGGCCAGAGAAAACATCTAGAGGCTGATAAATTAATTGTGAGGAGAAAATAAACTAGAAAGACTAATTCTTACTGATGGAAAAATTAGCATGGCTAATAAATAATTTTTTTTAAGGTAAATATAAGTTCCAGCAAGTTAACATACATCACACAATAGCTCTTAGTCTGACATACTCAGAAAATCATTTGAGAGATCTTTAACATCTCTTAATCATACATGAAGGTTAAATTCTTTGGCTGCCCACCTTTAGTCAAAAATAGATGTTCAAAGTGGTTAACACAACAGAAGATACACATATTTATAGAAATTCATCATGTTCTGCAGCCACTCTAATACCCTTCAAAGTCATTTTCACATGAAATGTAAAAATAAGTTGCAAGATTTAAAAACTTTAAAAGACTTTTAAAACTTTTCTGGAAAAAATAGGCAATTGTGGAAATAAAATCTTGCTTTCATAGTGGCTGTTGTATTTCATTGCAATTATATTATCTTTTAATTTTCTCCAAGGGCTTCTACTAAAGGTGCTTACTTCCCTTGTATTGAAAAGCTAACACCTACAGCATCCTACAGAGTGTAGACAATTATTTTCACTTTATTTTACCTAGGAGAAAAGGAAGCATGTTTTCTCCTCTTTGAACAGAAATTTAGTGGATATCTCCACTGTTACTGATGAGAGATGAGCTATGTCCTGAAATATCATCTATAGTGGTCTTAACATCAAGCATGAATCAGAAATCTCTCCAACAGCTCAGTTGGCTCAATTTTTTTAATGAGATCTAAATTCTGGTCATTCAGAGGAGATAGGAAAGATTAGCATTACCACAGACATTTTTTTTTCCCTCATTTAAAGTCTAAGGTAGTTATTCTTTTTTTTTCCTGTAATTTTAAAAGCATGAGAATGCATTTCTGTAAAGCAACAGCACATATTCAGTGCATGGTATGTTCATCATTGGCATAAAATATATAGTATTTGGAAAGGCAGCACACTGAATAATTCAGTGGCAATACCTTTAAGAGTCTCATGGATGGTGATAAATCCAGGAAACGCCACTTCTGCAGCTCTTTTAGCAAGGAAATTGCACTCTAGTACCACAACCAGCCACTAACATTTATTTCTCCATTTCTTCACCTTCTTTGTACTCTGTTTTGAGGGTCTGATTCCTATATTCTTCAACTGCTCCTTCTCTCTTGTACATTAGAGAGAATTCCTTTCCAAGTCTCATCCTACATTCTTGCCTATGGTTACTTTCCTTTTGTTCCTTACCCTAAACTTGGGTATTTTCTTCCCATATTCCTCCTTCCTACTGTTTCCCAGATTCTTAGCATTTTTCCCCTACCAAATGTCCTCTTCCGCCTTAATGTCGTTGTACTCAGGAAATTATCATCCCACCCCTTGCTCACATCCTTCAAATTTTATCCATCAGTCCTTACTGCAGAACACCAGTTAGGATACCACCTGTAGTCCCTGTAAGGACTAGGCTCTCAGCTACACCCTCTACCTGCCAGAGAGAGAGGAAGAAGCAAGGGAGAAATCATGGCAGGCATGGGGTGGACTGTGAAACAAAGGAACACGGAAGGGAAAATGTCATTTCTCCTTGCAGATGTGGCAGGTAGTTGGCCTTAGCCTACTCTGTAGACTTGTGCCCTCAGAAGACAGCATTTTGCATGTGTGAACAAGGCTGAAATGCACAAGTCAATGGGTCAGCCACTGCAGAACAGAAACTTCTACAGACACACCCAGGTGACACGGCATCTGATGGGACCCCGTTCATCTCACAGCAGGCACAGAGGAGCAGAATATACCCTCCAAGTCTGACCAAGGACATCAACCTTTTGTCAGGAGCAAAAGAGGTGAAAGGAGTTGATTTTTGCAGTGTCTCAGTTTTCTCTTGTCAGCTACACTTTTTTCTCCCCCACAGTCCCACTTAGATGGCAGCAGGATCTTCAGTCTTCTCTCAGAGATGGTGTGGCCCACAGGTCTCATTAACACTGTGCTGTACATCATTAGATTCGGGTACCTGTAGAGCAGCAGCTGTATCACTTCAGATAGCTTCTAATCATTTGTTATCAACTGTGAATTCTGAACACCCTTTGTTTTTAAAAAAGTCTCAGATTTCCATATTCAGAGCTCCACAGGTCATTATCTATGTATTTGCAGCATATATTCCAATTAAGCCTTCACCTTCATGGATCTCAGAAAATACTAGTTTCCTGGCCAATTTGTGATATTAAAATATCAAAAAACCACCCAACCCTACTGATGTTCTTTTCTTACCTGCATCCCTCTCATTTTCTGGAACCGAGCTACAGCATCACTGATGGTGTAGACACGAACATGGCCCATGTGAAGCTTTCCAGAAGGATATGGGAACATAGAAAGCACATAAAATTTTGGTCTTGATTTCTAGAAAGAAATTTTTAGAAAGTTATAACTCCGTGAGTTAGCATTTCACTTAAATAAACACATGCAAACATGAACATGACAAACTACACAGTGCCATGAAAAGACAAAAGGTTCTCCTGGAATTGATCCATGTCAGCACGGATGAAGTTTCTAGGATCAACTTCTTTAGGGCTGTAAATGGAGAGGTTTTACCAGACTTTGCTGCCATCTCATCAATTTACATTGGTATTTATATGACACCTGAAAATTGTTTTTAATCAACTTTTACTTAACAAAAGATATATTAACATAACTGCAGCCTAACAAATCACCATTCCTCACCATAGCATCTGTCACTGATTATCTACGCGCTCCTAATCTGTCCCACCAAAAAAATGAACACGTGACAGATTAAATTATCCTCTTACCAGTAAAATCAGTGTTTTACTTTGTATTTACAGCAAACATGGAGCTCACTCAGGGCCAGTTGCTTTTTTGTCAGCTGAACTGCACTAACTCACTGAGTGACTAAATCATTTGCAATGGCACAAACATCCATCGAAACTGCTGAGTTCCACTATGTATGTTCAGATCCAAATGTATCTTATAAGCACTGTCTTGCGCAGTGAAAAGAAAGTAACAATTTCATTTAGTTAGGTTTGACTAAACTGACAAAAGTTACAAAGAAATTAAACATAAATTATTCCTAATATGTCGTTCACCACTGAATTTATCATTGATACATGCTTAAGTTCCTACTTTACTTTTCTTATGTTAATAATGAAAAAAAATGGCCATCTTTTACTATTCTGAACCAAACTCTATTCTTATTTCTTAAATATTACTTCTTTATTGCTTTTGACCAGTAATAGTAAAATTAGAAGTAATCTGAACACTTCATTGCAAGACTATATACTATTTGCCTCTTAATATGGAATGTTATTAAATTTAACTTTAACTGTAAAGATAAAATGAAAGTATCACTAAAAAGAAAATTCAGAACTCAGCATATGTATGATACATATATATGATACCTTTGTATACGTGTATTGCCAGATAGCAAAGACACAAGCCTAAATTACTGCTTTCCCTGCTACAAATTTGCATACACACCACTTTCATTTCGGCTTTCTTCCTCAGAAAAAGTAAGTCCCTGTTCTCTCTTTGACACTTTGAAAGAATCAATTTTTTGTTGCACAGAGGGCACATTTTAGGAAAGAACAAATGAATGTGAAGAGGCACAAAAACGTTTTTATACCTGTGTGATTTAGCATAACTGTGAAGGCAAAAAGAGTCAGAGACCAAGATTACAATTGTTTTCAAGATCTTTTATTGCATGGGAAAACTTTCTTTTTCTGTAAGTCACTCATTATTCCCAGGACACTGTAAACCAGAAAATATTCTTAAAAAAATCACCTTCCCTTAACACAGATTTTAAAGAGTCACAGTGTGCAGGGTACTAGATTTCTCATTACCATTGTGAACAAGATCTTTAGAAAATTAATTGTTTAAAAAAGTTATGAACGTAGAAAATTACTAATACTTTAAATAATTAATTCCTAAATGTGGTATAATATACAAAGAAAGAATTGATTACTTAAACACTCTATATTTACAAGCTCATACTTTGCTCATTGTGTTTTTCTTCAATAATTATTTTATTATTATTTTCCCACCTATTTCATCAACTGTTTTTAAAAATCTATCATATAAAAGTATTTTCCCCTGAAATGCAATACACATCATTATAAGCCAACTGTACTAAGCAGTTTTCAGTTAATTTAATTCTGAGAAAACAAAAGTATCAAACATGCAATTTCCAAATTTCTCATAATGCTTACATCAGTTTCTGAAATTTTGCAGAACTGATCCTTTATTCTTGGGAGCCACCAATTTTCAACTCTTTTTCTTGTCTCCAACCCATAGCTTTTTTCCCATTTGCCCGTCTCACTGTAAATAGTTCTGACACAAGCAGGAACCAGTCTTCTCTGCCATTTAATTAATCCCAGGAAGCCACTTAGTTGTCTCTTCAAACATGAGGAACAAGTGCCAACTCTCTGACAAACCGACTGCATTCTTAAGGTTATGCTTCTGTAAAAGACAAAAGTATGTATTTCAGTCTACAATATATAACACAGGAATTCAGCTGTTACTATGAAATCTGGAAGCTGTAAAACATACCTCACCTTGATTTAGATTACCTGGCTGTTTTCCATGGTACTTGCATTTTATTCCCATGCGTCTGAATTATAAAAGCATTTCTTTTTTAGCCAAGAGAACTAACTGTGGCCCTTGCACAGAACAAAACTGTTCTGTTAGATTTCTTCTCTAATAAGATAACATTCTTGCATTCAACCTCCCACGAAAGCAGGATCAGTCAACTGAAAGTTCAAGAAACTTGGTTGCCTGAACAGGGAAGATGACTATAATTAGTAGATTACAACTAGATATTTTAAATTTACTATTTTGCTAAGGGCTTCCTTGTCAGTATGGTTTCCTGCACGAACTACATGAGAAACTTACACTGTTCAGACAAGATATATTTTAACAAGTCAAGCCAGTAAAGCAATCCAGTTCTTTTTCAACTAAAAATCCAGTTAAAAACTCCCCATATGCTTTAGAGTGAGGCTTCTAAAATAAAACTCAGATGTGAGAAAGATTAAATAGCCCTCAAGTTCAAGATCAGTCTCAATACAATATTTACCTATTTTACTTCCTACAGCAGAAAATATGGCATTAAAAAAAAAACCCAAACCACTCTCAGATTTCTTCCTCATCTGCACCCCTAATTCCTTAACAAAAAAAAAAAAACCCAAAAAATCAACAAAAACCTTGTCTTTTTATTTACAACAATATTTCTTACCCTCTATGATGGTGTTTTTATTTCAGATTTTGGCCTGCACACTTGACTGCCGTACCAAGCTAGCTATTTCAGTCAGTTCATGATTTTTCCTCAGAGCTACATCAGTAAAATTTCTGCAGAGAAACTCTGTATGAAACAGTTTTATTTATTTATTTCCCATGTGATAGCAACATTGTTAGTAGAAATAATTGCTACACTACCTAAATTAGGTCCCAGGTACAGCTAGTGGGAGTTAAACTTCTTTAACATTCACCACACAGGCGTACACAAGCCCTCATTGCCTGTGTCATTACATACCTGCAGAATTGCACCTTTTCTCTCTTAGTTATCAAGCAGGTTGTTTTAAACATTTTTTCATTTACATAAGCCATGACAGTGCTTTGAATTTTTTGTTGCTAATCTATAAAATCTCTCTCACTTGTAATAATAACAACAAATACAAGGCTGAACTGAGTATTCCCAGTGCGAGTGCATGAGTTATTCAGCAGACACCTAATTTCTCCCTCTCCATAATCTTACACTTATTCACTCAGCTCAGAAATCGCAAGAATATTTCAGTACTTCACTGCTTTGCTTATTTTTATTACTTCCTTATTACTTACACTTTATTTCTATTACTTACATTTATTACACAACTGAAAGCAGCACTTCCTTATGGCAGGTGACTTTCAGCATTGCTGATTTACAAAATATGTATTTCAAAACACAAGTTACACATGTGAATCCTTTGTTGAAGAGAAAGAGAAAACACATGAGCTTGACCGCATGCCTGGGCACAGCTCAAGAGAAGCCTGTCTGCAGATGTCACGCCTGCTGTGGCACATCTGGGTGACTTCAGGCCCTATGGGTCACACGAGCAGGGGTCAGAGCAGTGGATGTGAGTGGGAAAGGGGCCGCAGCCTGGGTCACACAGCTTTAGAGCAAAGTTCATTTAAACACATGGAATTCCAAGGATGAGAAAGAGATCTTCGGTCTTTTTCCTACTCCCAGACCCCCCTCATGCACAAGATGTGATGGTCAGCAAGTCACACGTGGGACCAAGCACGTACATCCAGCACACACAACAGACGTGGCCCTGAGTGGCTCTGCCTTTCCAGGCTGCTGTGCAAGGGACAGGGACACAAAGGGGTAGTAGGGTACCTCTACCCCAGTTACTGGTGTCCCAGTCTTGTGCTGTGTGGGCCTTGGAAGGGGCACAAACAAGCCAAAACTGCCCAACTCTGCACAGTGTGCCAGGAAGGGAGGAAGGGGCTGGACTGATGGAGGAAGAGGCTGAGACCCTGCTTTGGAAATAAGCACACAGAAGAGAAGACCTTTACTAAATTAAGGTACTAAAGATGGTAAGGACTAAAGATGGTAAGGACTGCCCAGAGAGGGTGTGGAGTCTCCATCCCTGGAGATGTTCAAAGCCCACCTGGACGCTTTCCTGTGTAACC